GGTGCTCATGCTCACCTAAATCAAAAGGGCATGGCACCAGTATTTGGAACCCCTTCTGTGTTCAAAAGTGCATGGGCCTGCTGTAGAGCAGATTGGTTTCTATTCCCATGACTCTGGAGACTAGAGGCTGCCTCTCTTCTCTCCCTCAGGACCTGAGCGGCAGCGGAAGTTACTGAATGTTGGACTCTGTTAATAGTCCAACAAGCCATACTATGCAGGCTTAATGGTTAACTATCAAGCTTAATATGGCAAGATGGTTTTCCTTCTTTGTCAGTTCTAAGAAGCAGAAAGTTCAAGGACTTGGACTTTGGACATATCTTGTCAATCCCTTGACTTTCCAGAAGCAGTGCCGTGATATCATTTTAAAATCTGAAATTCTTCCCCAATACTGAGTGCCCCCTGCATGTCTCCTGACCATCAGTAACTCTCCCTTCTAGAATATAAGATCCTTGAAGACCAGGAGCCTTGTTTTTCAAATTTTTGTATCTCCCAGTCTATACTTAATGTTTTAGAGTTCAGAGAGACCCATTCAATTGTAGCTATCATAGATTTGTATAGTTGTTAAAACAATTTTCCAGACAGTAGTAGGGTGACTTGAGAAGGCAAGTCTTTTATTAATCTATGATAAATACATGGAGGGCTTGCATCCTTAATGCTTAGATTACTCAACATGTAGACACTCAATAACATCTGCTAAATACTTTCCTCCAATATTTTAGTTACAAAAAAGTTAAACATATAAAAAAGTTGAAAGAATAACACAATGGATATCTATCACTAACTAATCTAGATTCCAGATTCACTCACTCTTTAACATCTTGCTATATTTGTTGTATATGTATGTGTGTGTGTGTGTGTGTTTGTTTTTGCTGAATCATTTGAAAGTTAGTTGCAATCATCATAACACTTATCCCATAAGTATTTCAACAGGCATCTCCAAAGGATGAGAATATTTTCCTACAAGACCCTTATCATACCTGAGATAAATTTATAGTATTTCCTTCAACTAATATTCATTTATAGAAGTTCATGCCAATGCCTTACTCACATCCCCTTGGTCGGCCTAGATATCATTGGTAAACAGTTCCCCATATAGCAGGTTATTTCCTGACTGTCTTTGCCTGGATTTCAGGGCAAGACCAAGAGAATATACACTCTGCTTTGACAGGGCAGGTTTCAAGTGCTGGGAAGTCAACTAACTCCCCAAGAGTGTCCCTTAACCAATGATGGAGAGAAGTCAGTGGATAATTAAATACCCAAGCTTCCTTCCCCCTCATGAGTTGATTCTTAGGTGTTTTCACAGAGTTTCTCAAAAGGTCCACAGTGAAAGCTGCCCCAGCAGTGACCTGATCATTAGCATGTCCTGTGCTAGTTTTCCTTCCTTCCCGATCACATTTTCTTATTGAGATGACCTTTAAACAAGCTACTTGCAGCCAAAGTTTTGTCTTGGTATCTGTTCTGGAGGAACTCAGAACCAAGACAGCAATCCATTGCTAAACTCATATAAAATAGTTAATAGTAAAACTTCTAGATCCATAGAGGAGCAAACTCAAAACCTGCTTAGTTGGTGCTTACGACCCAGCCAACAGGAACTATTCATAGTTATGATGCCTATTGGAACAATGCTATAGTGAGGTTGTGTTTATTTATTATGCCCTGCCAAGTCTGTATTAAGAAAATAACTGCTACTGCTTATTAAGAGTTCACTATGTGTCTGCGCACAAGTTTGAACTACAAGGGTAAACTCATATGCAGTTTCATTTATTTATTTATTTACTTACTTACTTACTTATGTAGAAGAACTGGTGTGTAGGCCAAAGGTGCAGAGGATGAGAGGATTCACCAGACAGAGTGGGGACCAGAACAGGTGGATTTACTGGAATACACTGCTAAGGGGAGCATTGGGCAAGACAGGAGAGGTCTGCTGTGCCATGGGGGTTAGCTCCCTGGCCAGAGCTCAAACTCAGGCTATAGTGGTGACAGCTCTGAGACTTAACCCTTAGGCCACCAGGTTTGACCCTGCAGTTTTTGTAAACCAGTTTTCTTGTGAATTTATGGTATTGATAAATGCAGTATATGTACATGCACTTTCTCTTCCTTAAGATTTTCTATATATTTTCTTTTCTCTAGCCTTATTATATTTATTGTAAGACTACAGTATATAATATATAAGATATATATTTACTATGTTATTGATAACATAAGCATGTAATAAGCAACAGGCTATTAATAAGTTTTGGGGCAGTCAAGTTATGTGCAGATTTTCAACTGTGCAGGACTGGGATCTCCTAACCCTTGTATTGTTCAAGGATCAATTGCATTTTCATTTTATTTCATGTAGTCCTCACAACAATTCCATAGGAAATGCATTATATTATTCCCATTGTAATGATGAAGAACCTGGAGCTTTTAGTGATAAAATAACTTTTTGAAGTCACACATCTAGTAACCAGTGTTTGACCAATGTGTTAAAACATAAAGATAACAATACTCTTCTATTCTTATATAAGTGGGAACTTATATGAGCATACTTGCCAGATATAACATGCACTTTAACAACACCATAAGCACATGTATTTTTTAACCAATAAAAAAAAGTTATCCTCAATAGGTAATTCCCAAAAGTATAATGCAAGGATTTCTCAATCAGGTGAGAGTCTTAAAGGGCTGGAACTTTCCCTGCAGTGCCTGACTTAACACATGTTACACAATGGGCATGGGTTACCAGTGGTAAGCAATATTTTCCAACATTAAGTTATATGAAATCTTCCAATGTTTTGGCTACTGCGAACATCAGACCTTTCTTCAGATTTGTCCAGTCACAACTCCCAGGCTATCAAATTATTAAAGCACAGTCACTCAGCTTGAACACAACCATGTTTAGTGAGACATACTACAGATTTTTGCACAAGGTCAAGCTTTGCTAGAACAGTTACATCCCTGTTAGTAATATCTGTCTCCACCTAGTAATTTAGGTACACAAAAACTTGGATCTTAAGAAGATGTCTTTCCCAATTGCTGTCTTCTCTAAGAATCCATAAAAAGAAACAGACTTTGAACCCAATTTATCTTATTCACTTGACTGTCATAAAGTGTTCAAATTCAAGTATTATAAAGATGGTAACAGGAAGAGGATTCAGAGTTCTCAGACAGAGGAACAATTGGCCAAGGAAGGCTGCGGAAAAGAGGACAACAGTCAAGTGGTAAGACTTTGTCTTATTTACAAAGTAGAGTCATGAAGTAAAAGAAACTAGCCAAATGAGGGGATTCAGTTTAAGAAATTGCTCTCTTGGTGGGGTTGGAGGGAAAGAGGAGACACCAATCCTCCTTCAATAGGGCAGAGTGAGGTCTGCCAAGAAGCCTTGACTCTGAGTTTTTACTGAGCACCTACAATGAGTTTTTAATGAGCACCTACAGTGCTTAAAAAACTCCTCTGATGACCAGATGCTGAAATCATCTCTGTTACAATACTGTGATGCCTTTTGGGCAAAATTTTAAAATTACATAAGAATAGATATTAGTGCTAATGACATCTTATTGAAAATTTGATGCAGGCTTGCTAGCAGGAAAGGGTGAACCTGGCAGGAATAAAACTTGCTCCTGTCAGGGCAGGCCTGGCTCAGGGGAGCAGCAGAGGCAGTCTAAAGTAGTTGTAGGTATGTTCCAACTCTTAAAGGTAAATATTTGCATTAAGGGGCCAAAACTCCAGGTTTGCCATGGTCTGTGAGTGGCCAGGGACTGGAAAGGATTAACAATAGATTCTTAAAGAAAGAGAATTTTAATCTAGTCTGTAGGGTGATTAAGAGCATGGTCTTGCATATTCTTGGGTTTGAACCCTGGCCCTGATATTTGCTGTCTTTGGGATCTTGGGCAAATTATGCAGTCTCTAAACAACCTCAAGTGGGTTATTAGGGGATTGATTGAGATTGAAATAATGTGTATAGTGTTTAGTACAGTACCTGTTGCAATGAAAACATTTTGTATGTGTTTCTGCTATATTCATACTGGTACTATTTTTTAAAAGATTTATTTATTTTTGTACAACAGCTGGGGTACAGGCCAGAGGTGTGGGGGGAGGGGGTTGGTGAGAGAATTCACCAGAGACGGAGCAGGGAGCAGAACAGGCAGACGACCGAAATACACTGCTGAGGGGAACAGCGGGTGCAACAGGAGAGGTCTGCTGTGCCATGTGGGAATCTCCCTGGCCAGCTGGGAATCGAACCTGCGCTGCAGAGGCTGCGGACAGCCTCACAGCACTGCGCTCAACCCACTGCACCACCAGGGAGGCCCCACACTGGTACTCTTAAAAGGAAGTGATAAATATATGTCTTTCCTAGATGGAAGTAGAGAATACTGAGGGGAAGGATGGCAGCAGCAAAATCACAGAGCAAGTGAGAAAAGAAGCCTTTGTTATTTATTATTTTTAGTATATATTAGGTCAAGGAGAAAAGTATTATGAGGGGAGATGGTGGAGGGAAAACAGAGACTAACAAGGTATAAGACTAGAGGCCATATTCTGATTTTTTTCCTAAGGTACAAACTATTCAAATCTATGAGGTTTTGGAATAGTCTTAACAACTCTCTATTGGCAGATAGCAACTTACAAAAAGGACCCAAGAGAGGCTTTCAAAACAAGAATGATTTTGTTAAGTAGGGATGGCCTGAGAATAAAGCAAATTTCATTTCTCTTTTTGTTAAATGGCATTTTACCCATTTCTCTAGAGAAGACTGGCTTTATTTTCCCCAGGGCTGCCTAGTAGCTGCCCTATAGCTTATAGCCTATTTCCTGTGGTTTGCTTTTTGTTGCCTTAAAAAGAATTCCTTAATACTAAAAGTACTTTGAACTTAGGAGTTGGAACAGGATTGTTTAATTAAAAACCAGAAGTAGAACCGTTATAGCTGGGATGACTCAACGGGGACTTCATTTTAAATGTATAATAGACAAGAGGAATGTTCGTCAGCTCAGCGTAGTCCAAAGTACAGAACCAACCGCACTCTTTTTCCCCCAAGCAGAGCTGACTCAAAGACATTAAAGATGGCATGGAAGAGCAGTGGCCTAAATGGAAAGTGCATATTTCTCCTCATAGTGATTTTGTTTCTGCCACGTGAGATGACAAGTAAGTTAAAGTTCTATTCGGCCTCTTTTAAATAAAGAAAAATTTTCAGATTAGAACATGATTGGTGAACACTGGATACAAGTTATAATGACAACACAGCTGGTATGGCTCAGGTCACAGATATAATAAAAAATTAAAATGAAAATATTTTTTTTATAGTCTGACATTATATGCCAGGGTGAAGTATTCTATTCTCTCCAGAGCTACAGTCAGAATATTCTTACATTTCAATGCATTTAATGACTAACGTCACCCAAATAATCTTCTGTTAACTGATGATTTGAACGTAGTATTTACACAAAAATCTTTTTCTCATTTGCTCCCCACTCCAATCTGCAAGTAACTTTTCTACCAACATCATCCTCCCTACGCCCCCCCATTTAAAATGTAACACACAGCCATTGTAAAAGAAATTAATGCGTAGAAGAAAAGAAAAATTCCCCCAAATCCAATTATCCAAAGATAACTACTGAAAGTTTTAGAAGCAACAATCTCATTTTCTTCACCAGTAGTTTATGCTTTTTAAATTCAAAGTTAATGTTTACAGAATATATTAACAAATGTTGTGTAGGAGGCAGGATTGTGACAGCTGCAGTCTTTTTTTAGTTTTGTTACTTGTTTCTGAACCAGGAAAGTAAAAATGGAAGTTCAGATACATTACTATACAATGAATGGATTTCTAAAAATCAGAGATGAAAATAAACTATCTACCCTAATAATCTTGTCCTATAACTTTTCTTCTCCATGAACCACAGCTTTTTAAACATCTTCTTATTTACTATACTGCCAAAACAATATTAAAACATCAGAAATGCTACATCAAATTTGTCCATAATCCTATATCGAATCAGAAAAGTTTTCAAATCAGCTTTTGCCTGGATGTATGTTCAAAGTTGATATAGTAATTATTAGAGATAAAATTTATTTTCTACCTGTTCATCTAGTGTTATGCCTTAAATATGTTTCCATTTTTCTAGTTCTTTTCCTTTGTATTTCTTACTCCCATCCCCTTACTTTGCTACTTCCAATCCCTAGAAGTAAACAATATAAGTAGGTAACTTACTTCTCTATTTTTCCTCTATTTTAATCAATCCTATTCAATCAACATAGATATTTTTCCTAAGATTTTTCCTTATAAGAAGGTGTGTGTGAGTGTGTAAATGGGGGTGATTCTGTACATACTCGTTTCTAACCCTGTGCTTTTCAAACTTCTTTGCATATCAGAATTGCCTGGGAGCTTTTAAAATTCCTCCCCACCCACCCACCTTCCCAATGTTCAGATTGCACTCGTATCAATTAATCAGAAGCTCTGGGGTTGGGAGCCAGGTAGATCCTCAGGTGGTTCCATTGTGTGTGGCAAAATTTGGTGACCATCATTTTAACTTTTTCCTTTTTCAGTTAATAATAAATTATGGATCTTTTTCTTTGTGAAATGTAGGTTGGGAATTTAGGTTGTTTACTCTATGTTAATAGTTTCTTTCTGTACTCCTAGGTTCTGTTTTAACTGTGAATGACAAAACTGAAAACTACATTCTGGATACTCGGCCTGGTTTCCAAGAATCTCTGAAATGTGCTGTTCAAAACCACATCAGAGAGGAAGAACTTCTCTGGTACCGAGAAGAGGGAACAGTGGATTTGAAATCTGAGAACAAAAAAAACTCAAGTTCTGTTTGTGTGTCCCCCGTTAGTGAAAATGACAATGGAATCACCTTTACCTGCAAGCTGCGAAGGAATCAGTCAGTGTCCATCTCAGTGGTGCTGAATGTCACTTGTGAGTAGGGGAAAGACACTGCTAGTCTGTGTTGCCTGCTGTACTACATTAGGTGGTAGATGAAATGAGTATGTGCTATTTAACATTTACTTGATACTGTCAAAATGTTGTATTTATTTATTTTTAAAGATTTAATTTTTTTTATTTATACAAGAACCTGGGTACAGGCCAGATGCGCGGGAGGGTGAGAGGATTCACCAAAGATAGAGCGGGGAACAGAACAGGTAGACTGACAAAATACACTGCTGAGGGGAGCAGCGGGCGAGACAGAAAAGGTCTGCTCGCCATGTGGGTTGCTCCGAGGCCTGCGAGGATCCAACCAGCACTGCAGAGGCTGTGGACAGCTTCAAAGACCTGCGCTCAACTGCCTGCGCCACCAGGGAGGCCCCAAATTGTCATATTTATGCCCCCACCACAAAACATGAGGGTACCAAGTTCTCCATGCTTTCATGTGCACTGGTGGGTCTCAAACTCTTTCTGGCTTTTTGGCTTTTGTGTTATACTCAGAAAGACGTTCATTGGGAATCCTTTTTTCCCCATAGGGAATCTTTTAATATCACCTTAAGACCCCCAAAATGTGAACCTCTTCAATAATCAGGTTCCAGGTATTGATAACCCATTGGTGAAACTCTGTGGGTTTAGAGGTCCTTCAGATGATCCTATGTAGGTAGATAGGCATGTAAATGGTTTAGGTAGAGAGTTGGTTCTACATGAAGGAAGTTCTTATGGTGTGGTGAGAGGTGATGTGCAACATGATGATGATTGGTGTGATTTGGTGGAATCAGCTCTGGACTTAGAACCCAGTAATAAAAAGTCAAAGCTATTTGGCCTCAATGAGCTAAGCAGACATTTCTGTGAAAAATCAATGCCATTGATCTTGAGATAAAAGGGTGGAGAAAATGCCAAGGAATCCAGCTCTGGAAAATACTGGCATCCTGTAGTTTGAGTTTCCAGAGTGAATCAACTGCATGTTCCTGGAAAAAGGAGCTTTACTTTTTATTTGTTTTTTTTTTCCCTATGAATTGATAAAATGTAATTTTTGGCAAGTTATTTCTTGGCCACTTTGATAGAATACAAGACTATTAGGGGACCTTGGAGGTCTTGTAATTCTTATAAAATAATTGGTGAGGAAACTGATACCCAGACTGAGGGCCTGAATCATCACAAATAGAAATGAGAACAGAACACAAATTGCCAGGCTCCTAATTCAGTGCTCCTCTCTTTGTACCTTCTTAAGGGAGACATGGCAGACAACGTGCTTGGGTAGCTTAAAGACATGATTTTCAGTTTTCAAATCTGAATCCATTTCAAAAGCATCTTAAAAAAAACCTCCTAAACATTATTGTTGCTAGGTGTGCACACACACACACACACATACACACACAATTGGTCAGTGATTAAAAATGACATCATCAATTGATAAGTCAAAATGAGCTCATAAAATGACAAGAATAACATGTACACCCTTAAGGAAGTATTATTGTTTTAAACAGCAGACCAAGAAATAAACAAAAGCTTGCTAATACACTATTAGGAGAAGAGTATGCAGAAATCAGCACTTTCATACATTGTTGCTGAAAGTATAAATTGAGACTAATCTTGTCTGCAATATCTATCAAAACTTAAGTCTATGACTCATCATTTCTTCTTCTAGTTGATAACCTTGGACACATGCACATGTGCAGAAAAAGACATACAAAGTAATTATTGTAGCATTGTTTTCAATATTTTTAAATGAAAATAACCTAATATTCAGCTAAAAGAAAAAAAAAGATTAAAGGGGCACCCATTATACCATAACACCATAAAAGCAATGAACTGGAGCTCTGTGGTTCAGTGTAGATATATCTCAAAAATGAAGATATATCTCAAAAATGAATGAAGCCTTTTATGTAAATGCTTCTCACCCTCCTAAAACAATATATTTTCTATGGGTACATTATACGTATAGAAAACCATTAGTTTTGACAAATCTGCAAAGATATACATCAAATACTGGGGAGTCAGGAAGTGAGCAGCATAGAGTCAAAAAGGACCTTCACTTTATGTGAAAAGTACATTGCATTTTTAAAATGCAATACTCCTACATACTTATATACTTAAACATTAATTTTAAGTAGTTAAATGAAAAAGTAACAACTAAAAGGACCTCTCCCCAAGTGGAACTGATATATTTGGCAATTATGTTCTCTATTCTAGCAGCTTCCTACATATCTGAATACCACATTACGTCTTATTGGATATGGATACAGAATTCAAGCTCACTTCAAAGAGCAACAAAATGTCATTCTTCTGAGAGAGTTATTAATAGCACAGCCTACACCAAGGTCTAATTATTCAGTGTGCAGATTATTCAAGCTCCTTTTTTCCTTCCTTCTCCACTTCTACCTCTTTCCTACTGCCCACTTTTTAAGTATTACTTTTCTGTACTCTGGCCAGAAAATGTAAGAGGCATAAAGAAGAGAGGGCAGGGCAGGTCAGCTTAACCCTCCCTCCTCCTAGATGTTGGAAAGCCCTGGTGGGGATGAGGCTTGAAGTTATTTGGTGAAGATAAATGTGTTAAACTATCTATGAGTTTACATCTACCCTTATCATGGAGGGATTAAGGAGTTGGTTACACAGAGGGATGAGAGGGGCTCAGAAGGTCATACTCACTTTTCATAAATACCAGAGTTGCAATGATTGGAACACCTCTGGAAGGAGGACATTATTTCTAGAGGATCACTGAACACATGTAAGTATGCACTAGTAAATAGGAGGCCAGACCAGATATGATTACAGAACATACCAAAATAGAGGACATGAGGAGTGCTCAAAAGCGCTCTACCACCGTGATAATGATAGTAGCTACTAGCACTTTGGTAAAATCTTACATACATTATCTCATTTAATCTTTTTTTAAAAAGATTTATTTATTTTTATTTATACAAGCACTGGATACAGTTAGAAGCGTGGGAAGGTGAGAGAATTCACCAGAGCCAGAGCAGGGAGCAGAGCAGGCAGAAGGGCCGAAGTACACTGCTGAGGGGAGCAGCGGGCGGCAGGAGAGGTCTGCGCGCCATGTGGGACCCTCCTCTGGTGGCCGGGGAGCAGCTGGGGATCGAACCGGCGCTGCAGAGGCTGCGGGCAGCTTCGCAACCCAGCGCTCAACCGCTGCGCCACCGGGGAGGCCCTATCTCATTTAATCTTCATAGAAATTCATACACTAGGGATTATCTCATCTTTCTAGATGAGAAAACTGGTACCTTACCAGTTAGTAACTTTCTCAAGGTCTCAGTAAGTGGTATAGACAGAATTAGAGCTAACTTCAATGTGACTTCTTAATATTGTACTGTTCTATCCAACAGTGGGACAGGTTAGTTTATTACATTAACTATCAGAAAGCAAAGCCTTGTCTTATATTCTTGGACAGTGTTAAAAATTGTCTACTTGATATAAATTCACAATATATATGGTTTTTGTATTCTCCATTACATGAAAAGTTCTGTGAGATCTGGAACTAGAAGTATATGATTTACCATTGTATTCCCAATTCCTAGGCCAGTGCGTGGCACACAGCAACACAGTAGTGTGTCAAGTATTCAATACATTTTGTCAAATGAATGAACGGCTCTATACAAATAGGTAGACAGACCTTGAACACCGACAGTGAACTACTGCATATATGCTAATTAAACCTAAATTCTTGAGTCTTGCAGTTTCTCCTATCTTAAGTGGAGATGACACTCAAACAGTTGAAGAAGGTAGAGAAGTGAAGTTGGTCTGCAAGGTGAAATCCAACCCTCCGGCTCAAATGACATGGCACAAAAATGGAAGTATATTGAATTTAGAGAAAAACCATCACCAAATCCAACAGACAAGTGAGTTTTTTCAGCTGTCAATCACCAAGGTTAAGAAGTCTGACAATGGAACCTACACCTGTATTGCCAATTCAGCTCTGGCTAAGGAGACCAAAGACTTTTACCTCATTGTCAAAGGTAACTTCCTTTTAATGTTTAGCACAGTGCAACACTCAAAATAGATGATCAACGAATATTATTTTTTGTGACAACAAAATGGTGATGATAATATGACCAGTAGCTAAGATTTTCATGTTGGAACACCAACAGAATGGCTACTGGGGAGGAAGGGTTGCTGCCCATTGTGATTAATGGCATGCCCAGTAATTTGTCCTGCAGAGCAGGGCATACAGTAGCTGTATGCCCAGGGACTACTTGCTTTAAAAACCAAACCCACAAGTACTCCTGGGATAGAAGCAGTAGAAGAGGCACCAAGCAAGTTTGGAGCTATTCATCTTCCCCAAGACCACAAAACCATAGTTGGCCTCAGGTCATGTCATTCCAACTGTCTCTAAACCACACAGAGAGACTAGGGAATTATATCATCCCTCTAGGTTAAGAAGAAATTATAATTGCTCTTTGTCACATAAAAAAACATACGATTTGTATGGTAAGCAGGACGCTAAGCTTGGCAAACTGGCTTTCAGGTGGGTAGAATCCTGTTTTGGGTGGAACTCTTCCAAACCAACTTGTTTTTCTTATTTCTTCCTGTTTTATTACTTCCCTGGCTGTTGGCTGCCTTCACAGCATAAGCACTCTGCTGCTGGTGCTCGGGCTAAATGCCAAGTTTGCCATCAGCCTCTCCCAGCTTCATGGCTCAGTGAGATAGTTTCTAAATGAGGCCATGCAAAACTGGAAATGACATGATTCTTCTCTTGAGCAAAATATCTTAGTTCACATGCTGGGATTATTTTGCCATAATGAAAAAGTGGGTGGGGAATATCTGGGTTGGTCAGCAATGAGAGAGTAAAACAGGACAAGGGGAGAGATACAGTTGTATTTGCAAAGTCACTTTCAACAGAAACTTGGAATCAAAAGTAAGTCAATGGATTTATTTCAGCTTGTTTATGAAGTGAAAGCTGTCACATATGGCTTCAATTTATTCAGTTTGGTAAAAAGATTCCAACCTATGACTAAATTCTGATTTCTTTTCCTAATGGTCCCACTTTTGCTTCCTTTTCATTTTGATATGTCTCCTTGGCATTGCAAGTGGAGGGGTTCCCAGTAAGATGAAGGCCCTTTGGTATGTCCTAGGGCTTACAAGAAAACAGAATTTCTCCAGAGGGTATGCAACCCATGCTTGATGAGAACGAGTTTTAGGAACAACCAAAAGAGAGCAAAAATAAAGAATGATTAATCCACTTACTCCCTGATATAAACCTGAGCAGGAACAGCAAATGATGGGGAAGAAAACAATTAAAAGATATTTGATTAATCATGAAAAGATAAATGCAGTTTCATATCTTGAGGCATATGGGGCTTAAGCAGTGAAATTAGAGTTATCTAAACTCATCTCTTCCCTACACTCCACCTTCCACCCCCCTCCATACTATTTCATGACTCTATATCCATTATAATATCATTTCAACCTGTAGTTTGTCTTTTTTTTTTAAGATTTATTTATTTAAACAAAAACTGGGGTACAGGCCAGATGCACGGGAGGTTGAGAGGATTCACCAGAGACAGAGCGGGGAACAGAACAGGCAGACTGACAAAATACACTGGTGAGGGGAGCAGCGGGCACTACAGGAGAGGTCTGCTTCGCCATGTGGGCATCTCGCCAGCCGACTGGGATCGAACCCTCGCTGCAGAGGCTGCAGACAGCTTCACAGTGCGGCGCTCAACTGCCTGCGCCACCAGGGAGGCCCTAGTTTATCTTTTTTTAGTGGGTATCTCCCCTACTAGAATATGAGCTCCATGAAAGCAAGAACCTTCCATATCTGTCCTTTCAATTTTTTGCATGGCTAAGCACAGTACCTAACATGCAGTAGCCAGTCAATAGATATTTGTTAACTTTATGTCAATGCAAAACTCGGCTGAAAATTTACAGCACACTCTTTATTTCCTATTAATTCCTAAAATTTATTTTTTAATTTGACTGGAGCTCCTTCTGCTCCTAGGCTGAACTCCAGGTCTTAGACAGGGTTATTCAAGTACTCTTGACCTTAAGCACTCTTAATTTTGAAAGCCTCATCCTATATCACATGAAACATTAAAACAAAGCACATTATACCTTTTTGCTATAAAATTTTTGAAAGTATTGTCATAACTTGTATATATTTTGAATTATGTTATAAGGTAGTCATTTGGTTTTTAAGATTTAAATATTATATATGGCACATAAACAGCTGGGTTATGGCTAACATGAAACTAACACTTTATAGATATTTATATATTTATTAATTTTGACACTTAATTTTCATATTTTGGAGCCAATCCTTTTTTGTGTTTCAAATATTTTCATAGGCTCTTAGAAAGTCTGCAAACTTTTTCACTTTGCCTGTAGTGCCTGATGAACAAAATTGCTCTGAAGTTACCTGGTATTCAGAAAACAAGGGATGGGGCTTTCAATTCCCAGTTGTCATAGTTGCTGTTGTGTGCACTTCCATTTAATAGGCATGACAACTCTTTGCCAAGGTTGGGAAGGGTGGTGCTTCATCTACTTCCCTAGGTTTACCATGTAGCCACCTTCTATAATGTCTTGTCACTTGCTTGGTGACAGTATTGTCCCTGTACAGGCATAAAGATCCCGGCAGCTCTAGGCCTCACAGACGTGTCTCCCCTTAGTCAGTTCTTGCTCTTAAAACCCTCTTCCTTCTTTCCCCTCTTGAGAGACCTCCCAATATCATTTGGGTTTTTCAAAAGGTAGGAAAAACCATTAGTTGCAGCCTACTTCTGCTTCTTCAGGTAAAATATTATGAGTTAAGACAGAACAAAGGGATCCTATGATTTTCTTTAGGAAAGTTATTCATATTACAAAAGTTATTCATATTCCTTCCACAAAAGAATAGTTTCAAACATTCATACCTGTCTCTCCCATCTACTGGTTCTGTGACTTTGGATTAGTCAGCTAGCTTCTCAAAACCTTAATTCCCTGCCTGTAAGATGGGTATAATGTTTACCTGGGGCTTCCCTGGTGGTGCAAGGGGTTAAGTCTCAGCACTCTGAAGCTATTGGCAGCCACTGCAGCAAGAGTTTGATCCCTGGCTAGGAAGCTGACCCACATGGTGCAGCAGACCTCTCCTGACTTGCCCGCTGCTCCCCTCAGCAGTGTATTTCAGTCAATCTGTCTGTTCTGCTCCCACTATATCTCTGGTGAATCCTCTCATCCCCCCACACCTCTGGCCTACACCCCAGCTCTTGTATGCATAAATAAATTGTTTTAAAAAAATAATATTTACCTGTGGAGACTATTGGGAGGATATGATTAAGAAAATGATGCATGTAAATTGCAAGACACCATGGCTGGGACATATTAGAAGCACATAAATTAGAAGCATATAAATATTAGTTCTCATTCCCTGTGTTCATATTTCCAACAGATAGAGTTGTGACTCTACCAATGGAACCTGTTATTGCTGCATGTGTTGTGGTCTTTCTGACACTGTGCTTTGGAGTCATTGCTAGAAGAAACAAGATAATGAAGGTACCTAACTATTCTAAGACATTTAGGTTAAAAGTGTTCTAAATAAAGGCAGAGAATTAGCTATAAATGACTAGAGTTAGGAACCATTCTTGGACAAAGTTGAAGCTGGCCTCTTTACCAGGAGATCTAAAATAGAAGTTGTCCAGGAGAATAAAAATTATACATACATTATGAGTATAACTTTACAAACAACAGAAGAACATGTGAACAAGACCTGAATGAAAACATTTATAGTGTTAGAGGCTTGGGGACTGATTTTTTTCTTCCTTTTAAATTTCTCTTTATTGTTGCTATAGTGTCTTTTGGTATAATAAATCAATACAGGGAAGATCATAGGCTTTGGATTCAGAGATCAGCATGAAAAAGATGGCATTTCCTGCTCACCTCATAAGCACAGTCACATATCTCAGTTGCAGCAGGCCAGGGTTTGAATTGTTGAATGGTTAACCTTTTTGGTTAGCATGATGCACAGAGTGTATGAAGGCATAGATTAATGCCAATCCAATTGTCAATCCACTGCCAAAAGGAGGTAAATACGGCAGAGTATGGCCTAAGCTGAGTTCATTATCCAGCAAGAGGCATTCTCCTTGAAATACATGGTAACTGGATAGTATTCAGGGCAACAATATCTACCAAGAGGAAACACCCACCTTTTGCTCCCTCTTTTAAGTCAAAGTAAATGTCTCAAAACAAACAAACAAACAAGGGCCTCCCCTGGTGGCACAGCGGTTGAGCACTGAACTGTGAAGCTGCCTGCAGCCTTTGCAGCACTGGTTTGATCCTCGGCCACCGTCTAGGGTCCCACATGGTGCGATAGACCTCTCCTGCGGCGCCCACGGCTCCCCTCAGCAGTGTACTTCATCAGTCTGCCTGTTCTGTTCCCCGCTCTGGCTCTGGTGAATTCTCTCACCCTCCCGCGCTTCTGACAGTACCTAGTGCTTGTATGAATAAATAAAATAAATCTTTAAAACAAACAAACAAACAAACAGAAGTATTCAACTAACTAAGAATCCTGGAAGCATTTTGATTTACAAATTATATTTTCTCCAAATTCAATAAACATGATTAATGTGGCCAGAAAAATAAGACCTTGGCCAGTACAGAGGAGGATATATTTCTACAGCTCCAGTCTTGAGCCACTTTGATAAAACATAAACGTTTATTCATGGGCCTTAGAAAAGCAGGCAAACTCATTGCCCTTGTGTTTGTTTTCAGCTCTGCAGAAGGAATGAAGTTCCTCAGAGAGACACAGCTCTGTAAGTATTCTGGACTGAGACCAACAATTTTCCATAAGGAGATGAGTGTTAGTGGTATATACATCATAAAGCCCATCAGGGCAAATTCCTCCAGAGATGGGAGGTGCTAGAAGGTGAAAGGGTTCAGAGAGGAATGGAGGGTGGAGAAGAACCTGTTCTAACAGGTGAGGCTAGGTTGGAAGTTGCTCAGAACTGAGAATACCTTTGGTCTTATGCCACTCTCTTTCAGCAATTATGTGCAACTGCATTTTGAGCGGGCCTTGCCATTCTCTTTCACAATGTTTGTAAATGAATGCTTTATTTAGCGGGCCTACCGCTCACCAGAGCCAGAGCGGGGAGCAAGCCACCAAGGTACACTGCTGCAGGTCTGAGCGCCATGTGGGACCCTCCTCCGGTGGCCGGGGAGCAGCCGGGGATCGAACCGGCGCCACAGAGGCCGCGGGCAGCTTCTCAACCCAGCGCTCAACCGCTCCGCCACCGGGGAGGCCCCTGGAGTCATATTTTTCATTCTAAAGACTGCCTTCTCTTGGAGTTTCCTATAGTCTATTGACTCCAGCATACATGAAGTGAACGGTGTGTGAAAAGAACAAAAGCATTCTTTCCAAGAGCATGAATTTTGTTTTGAATTTATTTTCTTATTGCTGTGATCCTGATTATAATTGATTTCTTGGTCCATTTCAGATGAGAAAGCTGAGATGCCATCTAATACAGCAAGAGTTTTGCATCAGGACCTCCTTGATTTATGTAGTCCCATCTGTATTTATTGCTATTATAAAATTCACTCCTGTCAAATTATCAAATTTTATAAAGAAATATTTCACTAAGCACTTAACAGTAGTTGTTATGACCAATTTAATATACTAAGAGACATTTTTGTAGAGAAAGTTAAGAACAAAAAGTAAGATTTTATTAAGTCTTCTCTTTCAATGGTATGTTAATTAATTGAGATTTGTTCTGAAAAGATTGGTAACCATTTACCATTTAGTGTATGTTTTGCTAGGTAGGAGATTAACAGATATTTCGGTTTCACAAATCAGTGCTATTCTCCCCCAAAATGGGGGGAGGGGCACAACATAGAATGATGAATTTTTTTAAGTTGCTAAGGAAGCACCTACAGTGTTGTTTCATATAAGAAATAATTTAGGACTAAAAAAGGAAGGAAAGAGTATCAAAATGGAATGGAATAAATGTAGTGTTAAATGGAATAAATGTAGTTTTATTTAAAATTCAGCATATGTCCTTATTTTTCTCATCTCATCAGGGTTGACAAGGTACAACATTTGTGAGCATTAGAGTAGAGCAGGGTACAGGGGTTGGCCAGCATGTCTGCTTACAAGTACCCATGGTCTCTTTTTGCATAGTCACTTGCATACAAGTATCTATATTAATTATTAGTTGGCTTGTATTCTTACTCATATAACTCAGTTTTAAATTGTAGCTCTCATATTTTATCACTGACCTTTCACATATCCATTCTTTCTTCATTTTTCCCCTTTAAGAGTATCTACTTCACTTTCCCACCTTTGTAGGGTACAGAACCACTTTTGGTTTCTCTACTGTGCTCCCTCTCTGTTTTAGAAAAAAAATTTATTTTTTTTGGCCCAATATTGTAGTAGCTAAATGTCCTACCACAAGAGAGAGAGACCAGCTATCAGATAGGTGATAAAAAGCTCCTTATTAACTTAGAAGTAAAAAAGAAAAAATGGACAGAATGTATGAAATTTCAACAGACTTTTTTTTAACAGGAAGAGACACATCCTCCTGTTAGGCTTTTCTTTGCTTCCTTGGAAACCTCAGCATGGAATTGGGGGTGGGTGGGAGGGAGAAAGAGAGAAAACCAGTAAGAATTGTGACAGGTTTCTGTTTTCTTAGAGGCCCTAGCAGGCTTTAGTAGGGGAGTCTTCAGATCATGTCCTTCATTCATAATATTCAAAGTATTTGCAATTCATTCATAGTATGTGTATTTCTCAAAGTAGAATTCAGAAGCCCTATGAAAATGCTATAATGATAAGGTAGGAGGATTGTGAAAATCTGAAAGTTTAGATAATTAAGTAGAAGCTTGGAGACTATAAGAAAAATCTCTAAATTTTAAAAAATATTTATTTATTTATGCATACAATAACTAGGGTGTAGGCCAGAGGTGTGGGGTGAGAGGACTCACCAGAGACAGAGTAGGAGCAGAACAGGTGGATGTACTGAAATATGCTGCTGAGGGGAGCAGCGGGCAAGACAGGAGAGGTCTGATGTGCCATGTGGGTCAGCTCCCTGGCTGGGGATTAAACTCATGCCGCAGTGACTGGTGATAGCTTGATAGTGCTGAGGCTTAACCCCTTGCCCCACCAGGTAGACCCGCTAAAATTTTCTATAAAGAAAATCTCAGGCACTGATGGGTGGGATATTTTAAAATGGAAAAGAAAACAAAAAGTGACATATTCAAGTGGGCTTGGAATCAGAAGATATGAATTCTAGTCTTAGCTATGTTACCTTGGTCAAATCCTTTCCCTTCTCTTGGGCCTTTGGAAAATTAGGAGGAGCATTAAGAATAATTTTCATGTTAGCCTGAAAAATTCTGTGATTCTCAAAGGATTCTCACATAGGATAGTTAAATGCTGGAAGGAGTTGGCAAGAAAGACTGGAAATGTCATACCATTGCCCCACCTAGTAGAATTATGAATCAGCTTTGTTCTAGGACATATAAAAATTCTTGAGAATTACAGGTCATCAGTATAGAGTTTCTTCACCCTTACAAACTACAATGGCCTTGTACATTAGCACAAAGAACATTACTCTGGTTTAACAGAACATAGCAATATAATAAGTGGTCTTCACATTTTATTTTGCTTTACTGTTTTGAAAAAAGTAAGAGTCTATTAAACTAAGTCTATTATTAACACTAAACTGAGAAGTTATCCTAGAGCCTGTCTTAGAAGGACGTGAAATTTCAGGACTAAAAAGAGGTCCATATATCCTTTCCCCAAATGTCTTCACTGTTTACCATGAGATAGTTAAAACCCTAACATTCCTTCTGGTTTTGATCTCTTAAGTGGAGAGGTGAAAGACAAAGTTAGTTGCTCCTTTGTCAACCTTTCTAAAGATACCTTTTATAATAAACTTTTTTTCCCTTCTTGCCTCCATCCCCTCCCTCTTTAAAACTGATCTATCAAGCGAACTTTATGAAACAGTAATATTTCTCCAATTTTAAAAACATGTATCAATGATGTCTATTTGCCAGCCTGAACTTCTTTTATCCAAAATTATCTTTACCAAAATTATCCAATTGACATAATTCCACTTAAAAGCAAAGAAATCTAATATTTTAGTTAACCTGTATAGTCTTTTAGAGGTTGACAATATAATCATTGCCATTAGAATTTTTTGAATCACTGAAAGTGGCTTACGACTCCCTTCCTCAACCGTCTTTACCCCTATCATAGTAACCACCATGACTATCTTCATGAAACTGTTGGCCAGTGGTCATAAATTCACATTCTTATAGGGACCAAGATCAACGAATGAAGCAAGCTAGATGTAAAACAATGTGGAGCAGTGAGGATTGTGGCAAATAACGAGCACATCTATGTTTAAAATAGGGCTAGTCGTATCACCAGGACAGATTTTCCAATTCATTAAGACAAGTGAAAAACCTAGTTTTTGATATGTAATTTTCCTAATGAAAAATTTAAAAATTTAATTCTATAATATATGTCTTGGAGTAGAATAATTCTTTCACCCCAACATATGCCATATTAAATTAGGTCAGTTACAACCCAGGTTAACTTAGGCTTTCATGATCTCATGGAGCTTTTTCAGTTTTCACTCCTCTTTCCCTCCAAAAGCATGATCATAAGGAACTAAGTCAAAGGACAGTTAGTTATACTGTGCTGAGGACTTTACCTGCATTATTTGATCCTATAAACAATTCTCTGATGTAATCATGATTGTCAACGAGGACATAGAATGTTTAATAACTTATAAAGAGTAACTAAGCTGAGATTTATAACCAGCTGATTGAAGTCTGGGAGCTGTAGTTGGGGAGATCACAAAGAGGCAAAGGTTGAATAATAAAAAAAAAACTTCATCTCCCTCACAATTTTTGAAGAATGACATCAGTATTGATTCTACTTCTAATAACCAATGGATAATTTATTTTAGTAAGTAAAAGAAATTTAAAATAATCTTACATGGCCTTTTGAAAATATTACAACTCTCCTTGAGATAACTTGAGCTCTCCTGGATAGGAATAGAGCTAAGAATTATTGCCCTAAATATTTGTTTGTCTGTCTGACGATAAGAATCATTAAGTGTTACTCTTTGCCAAAGGGTTTGGTAGCTAATTTCTTATTTGGCAACAACCCTGAAAGGTAGGTGTTGGAATTTCCATTTTATAGATGAAGAAATTGAGGATTAGAGAAACAAAGGAAGTTGCTCAATCAAACTCACACTAGCATGAGGTGGAACTGGGATTCAAACTCAGGGCAGACTGACCCTACAGTTCATGCTCTTTCCTCTATAATGGACTGTCCAGGGGGTGAGGGGGCATGATAAAGTTCCTAGAATGTGACTGAGAGTGTCTTACGGCTTTAGGGATTTGGGGATGGGGCAGAGATATTTATCCTTCACAGAATATCCTTTCTTCTTCACATTTCCCTGTTCTCTTGCCATTAGCTGATCCACGTGACTGGTTCTAGTCAAGGGGCTATGGTATTAATGATGTCATTTCTAGGCAAAGTAAGGCAAAGTGGGTACATGTTCTTTATAGGGCAGTTGTGGGGCAATGTTAGAGCAGCCTGAGGTTCTGAATAACCATGCGGAACTGAGCTACCTGTGCACATGTTAGTAGCAACAGATCCTTCTATCAAGCCACTAGATTTTAGGGTTAATTTGTCACTGCAGCATAAATTTAGCTTATCTTAACTTACGCAGGTATTTTCATTATAATAAGAATTCAGGAGAAAGTTTCATCCAGTTCAGTAAAATAATGCTTAATTTGGGGGGCAATTTCCATAGTAACGCTTACCCTTCGTGATGAGTGCAGATGTTTTTTCCTTTGAATTGATTTGCACCTATTGACAGCACACCTTTAAAGTAGTGTGGGGGGGGGAAGTTATGCAGAAAATAGTATCATTTTATTAAAAAATTCAAATTACACTCAATCTCGTGCTAATGACTACAGATCAAAATCTATATATTAATCACAAAATCCTGAACACTCAGGTATATTTCCTGAAGAATCTGTCTCTGCAACACTGAGGTTGTCATATTGCAAACAATTCACATCATGAATAGTTTTTATTTACATAATATTGGAAAACATGGAGGACATTACCAAAAACATTCAGAGAATTGTGTATGTTTTAAGAAAAAAATGTATTCCTACTAACAGATTCCTACAGTAAATTGTTGCTAAGGAAACTTATGAATTATTTGTCTTTATTTCTTCTGACACTCTTGATAACAACAATAGATTCAGCCTCTGCTTAAATTATAGTTTTGGACAGTGATTTCTTACATTTTTATATTACCTTATAACTTATAAAATATTTTTATACATATCTTATTTGATCCTCCAGTAACTCTGTAAATTAAGTAGTGCTGTCATTATTTATGATTTGCAAGTGGAGATACTAAAGCTCAGAAAGGCTAAGCAATCTGTCCAAGGTCACACAGCTAGTCACACACCCTGCCTTTTGGCTCTAAGTATCACAATTGCTCAGGACAATTTGTACAAGACAATTCATTTAACCCTTTTGCCATATAGGTGATTACTATATGCAGGAAGCACTGGAGACAGGAAATAAGAAATCAAACTAACACACAAAATTGTTAGGAATTATCAAAATTGAGTTCTCTGAGTTACTTGTAGTACAGCAACATCATATAATAATCGTTGTACTTCTATAAGCACTGCCCTAGGCACTCTAAATATATTGTAGCTCAATCATAATAAAAATCATATCAAAAGGGTCCTATTTTTTCATACCCACTAATAGTGGAGGAAAACGGAGGCACAAAGAATTTAAGTCTTGTGTCCTGGGTCATATAGCCTGTTAGTGCCCAAACCAGGATTTAGACCAAGGCAGTATGGCTCTTGGGTCCTTAAACACTAGGCAAATTACCTCTTGCATTAAAAAGTAGCTTATATAGTACTTCCTATACATCAGGAACAACAAACGTAAAAGATTCATTTAATCTCAATTAGTAATACATTTAACATTAAGTTAAAATAGAAAGCAAACAAAGGAAGAAGGGAAGGGTGAGGGAAAAGAGGAGAGGGAGCGAGGGAAGGAAAGAGGAAGAGACAGAAACCAGAGAGAGAGACAAAGAGAGAGTGAGAGAGAAATTTAAAAGTGTCTGCATGAGACTTGCTATTTAATTCAAAGAACATGTGCCCTGATGTGAGCATGAGACAAGGCAGAGGATCAGCTCACCTGGTCAGTCCCAGTTCGCTCATGGCTTTCAAATTGTGTTTCAGTGCTGAGAATGAGTTTAGTGTTCAAGAATTTGTATTATTCTTACAAAATGGACCCTAAACCAAGCCAACTACTTCATTTGGTTCTCAACCAAAGAAACAGCAATGTCTTTCAATACTGTAATAAAAACTGGCTCTGCTCTACTAAAAGGAGATATCTGGGTTTGCAAAGTGAAACGTGTCCAAGGAATTTCCAAGGAAAAATTGTATTTTAATCAATTTTTGCTTAACTCTGGAATTCAATCTTTTAATAAGCTTAAACCCACTTGCATCTTTGAACCTCATTAGTGCCAAAGAGTGCAGTTGGATTCCCATAGTTGTTTGTAACTTTGCTATGTATGGTCAATGTTGCTCACGGAAAAGTTTTAGCTCTACATGAAGCTACCGATGTATGAAAAGTTGCTTGGAAAAAGGGGTCTCTCATCCAGGTACAGCCACTAATGAGCTGCTCAGCTCAAGAATGTCACATCTTTCAGATACTCAAAACTGAGGGATTAGACCAAATGATAATCTCTAAGATCCTGTGAGCCCTCAAGTTGTATGATTGACATTTAAAAATTGTTTTTAATGGTAACAAAACAATTCTTGGGAGCCCTGTGTATAATTTTGCAAACTATGCTCCTTTTACAACAGATTCTCAGCCCAAAACAGGTCGTTTTTTACTCCAGTTGTCATTTGTAAGTTTTATAGGCAGCTCACAGCCATCATTTAAAACATTCCACCAAAGAGAATATAAAGAATCATAGCCTTGAATTCCTGAATTTTATAGTTATGGTACTCATAAAAGTGTTTAATAACAAACTTGGCTCACACGGAAATCACCGTCTAAAGGACTTTGTCCCAATTTGAGATGAGGATCATATTTGTTTTTAAGAAAATATTTCAGTGCAGTAAGGTCAGAGGTACAAGCTGGGTTCCCCAACATGACCTTGGTCTAGGACAGGGGGCCCCAGCACACCCCAGTCAGGCTTAGGCCACAGGCAGGGGTGGGGGCAGAGTGGGCCCTGTGCCACCAGGGTCTCAGGGTCTAGGGGTCTTGGGCTGGGGCAGCTGGCCTCCACCTCCATGTGGGCCTGGGGTGGGAGCTGGGCCACCTCTGAATGGGGTCTTGGGCAGTGACGGGGTGGGGTGAGGGGAATGCAAGGTTCTAAGTTCATGTGGTCAGGTCTGACCCTAGTCCCAGTCAGGTCAGAGGCACTTCTGGGTGACCTGGGTCTCTGGCAGGGGACCCAAGCACACTAGGCCAGAGGCAGTGGGGACTGGGGACATGGTGGGGGCCAAGGTTGGGGGAGCCCCCCTCCATTCTGACTCCTACTTCAAGCAGACTGGTGCAAACACCTATCAGGCACTCCTGCTGTTTGGGTCGCCTGGGGTGGACCCAAACAGCACAGTTGGATCCGTGAGAGATAGGACCATGAGGCGAGCTGGTGTGGTGACCTATCACATGAGCTCCACCTACAACATCTCTGGGGACTGGGGAACCAAACCCCTGGTCCAGAGATGCATGCAATGTGAGGGAAGCTTTTTCCTTTTCCAACTGGGGTTGGGAAACATCTGAGATGTGACTGGGGACCCAGGAGAGGACTGGAAACTAGAAAAAGAGACCAGAAGAGTTGCACCAATGACCTACTGGAGTCTGTCCCCACTGGGGAACTTCCCCACTGACACTGGCAGGGAGCAGGGTTCCCAACACCAGAATTGTAAGCCATAGAAGCAGCATCATGTGACAGTCACTGGAGTGGATGGAACAATCAGTGTGAATGAGGACACAGGGAACTCAGAGACCAAACTGGTCTGGAGAAGACAGGACAGTCTCCTACATCACAGAAAGTTCCAAAATGAAGGAGCCCAGGGAACCACTCCACACACCTGCCCTATAAGAGGTTCCTGAAATGCTCTGCTATGCTACCTGCCTCCCAGTTGCTCTTGGGGATCTGAGCAAACTTGTCTGCTGTGGTCCACAACCCCAGGTCGTCACCTAGGAAAAGGACAAGGTTCCAGCAAAAAGATGAGTCCCGTGGGCCGCCCATCGATCAAGGGAGGAGTGGGAGTGATGAGAGCAGGGGAGGGAGACCCCGGGGAGGCGGGTGGTGCTACGTGGGTGGATTATTGGTAGGAAAGCTCCACCTATGGGGAACAATAACTGAAGACATTTGACCCATGATGTAAGAAAAAAAATTCATATATAAATTCATAATTTCTGCTAAAGATTTCTTCATACTTTTGATCTCACTAAATACAGGCATTATGTGTTGTTTTTTTTTAATTTCACATAATAATTAAAGTTTTTTAATATTATAGTCTTTTCATCACAAAAAACTTATTCGTCCAAAGACCAAAAATATTTGACATCAAGCTCTCTTCTCAAATATTAAATATTACTATACAATATAGATAATTTTAAAACCAACAATGACAAGTACCAGAACAACATTCACTTAAATTTTTTCCAGGAGCCCTGTCTCTGATTTCCAGTCCATTCTGCACTATCAAGTTATATCTATTCCTTTTCTCAGGTAATAATGATCTGAATCAGATCCAAAGAAAGCAGTAGAGGAGTTTGTCTCCTTTGAAGACCTAGAATTGCCACCATCTGGTATCAAATTAAAATCTGAATTAAAGCCTTCATTAAAGTCTGATACAACTCATTAATGCAGAGATTCAACAGCAGCAGGCACATTCACTGTATGTCTCATTTTTCTATACTGTCTGGGTCAACAGTCAATGGTGGACACAGCTCTGAGAGCCACCTCGCGCCCAGCCTTCCAAATACTCGTTCCGCCAGTGTTTTCCGACTTCTTTCCACAGCTGTTCTTCGAGTTTGTTCAAACATTGCTTCCAAATCAAATGTGCGAGCTTTTTTCCCGAACCCCGTGAAGCCCATGGTGACAGCCAGCTGCGGGTTCGGTCCCGCCGCGTCCGAGCCTGTCACTTCGCTGGGCCCCGGGCGCTCCATGGCCCGCGCAGGCCTCAGGAGGAGCCGCAGCCCCCGGCCCCGACAGCGGCCAGGCATTATGTGTTTTGATTCCCATAGTGCTATTAATCATCTCATTAAGACTTCTATTGTTGACCTTTGTCATGGTGAGTGGTTGCCACGACTTTCTGCCTACATCAGACAAATTTAAATTGGCCAATGTGAAAACTCAACAGCTGCATATTTATGTGCTTAGGAAAAACTTCCTGATTATGTTCCAGTTGTCAAAACCTAGAGTAAAAGCACCCATAAATTAAATCATCCACAAATAGAATATACACAAATGGTTGCTTTGGTGCAAATTGGAAAATAACATACAATATTCAGCAATTTATAAATCTGCAAATTTGCTGTTTAGAATGGCGTGTCTAATGTTCTTGAATTTCAAAGTGCTTTCATTTACATTGTATCTTTTATTCTGAGGCTTAAAGGGCTTAAAATTTCATTTTCTGGGATCAGACCACCTAACTACCATTTTATTTATGATGTGACATTGTGCAAATTATCTAACCTTATTGTTCTGTATTTTCTTATCTGTAAAATGGGAGCAGAAACACGATTTAGTAATAGTAACAAGGTAAGGTTATTGTCAGGGTTATATAAGCTAAGATTTGTACATTGTAAAATCTATGGCATAGTAAGCACTCAATAAATTTTAGATGTAGTGAACACTCCACTTTTCAGGAGAGGAGACAGACTGATAAATGACTGTTTAGCCAGTAAAGAATAGTTAGGACTTAAAACCAGGTCTAATGGACTAGACCTTGGTCTCTTAACTCTATGCTGCCTTTCTTATTTAACATAAGATGGCAGGTTTCCTAATTGAGGGCTTTTATGGAACAATTTTTTTTCAGTCCTAAAAAGGAGACCAATTTTTTCATCTGCTTTTAGGGTGAGATGATTGTTCTCTTTTTTTTTTTTAATTTTTCATTTGTCCTGTGAATGTGTTTAGTTTGACTTTTGTCTGACGAATCATTCTTCTTAGAGCAAGGAAGAAAGAAAATTAAATAAAAGAAAAGTAAGGTGAGGTGCAAAAATGGAAATCTAATGAGAAAATATAAAGGCTATGTATTCAAAATGTAGATTGAAGTCCCCAACTCCTGCATGTTAACTTTATTTTGAAGACTTTTTTGCTGCCTCAAGAAAAACCCCTAGAAAGAGGACAAGAATGTCATAATGATTATGTTGAAAAATTCAGATACTAAAGAATATAGTTCATAGCAATTGAAGAAGCAAAGAAACCTCTGGTATTGTGTGTTGTAGCTTTAAACAAAGCCCATCTAACAGCATTGCTTAAAGAAAACTAAGACCTACAGACCAATGGTATTTAGTTATTATTTTCTCTCAGGTCCAACATTTCCTTTTTCATCTATTATTTTCTCTTCCATTTGCCCCTCTTTTTCTTTAATCTTCACTTCAAATTTTCTGTAATTCACCAGTATTTAGGTTTTGGTCACTATAGGTGATCATTTTATTAAAATGACCTGTACGAAGTGAACCATTTTCAGAGTAGCCTAACCAGGACCATCTTGTGTCAAGATTCTCCCAGCATTATATCAGTGACTTATTTTGTTGTTCACAAGAATCCTCCTTTCTCCTTTACAAATGGAAAGAAAAACGGAGGCATTTCTCCTGCATTTTTCAGAGGTCTTAACCCTCAGTGGGAATGGCTGGCCTCCATGTTTGGCACATATCTATCTCTCTTTAGTTGCAGCTGCGCAACTAATGTCTTCCATCCCCAGAGATTTGCTGCCTCTAGATCTTTGATTAAATCATCATCTCCGACTAGAATGTCTTTCCTCAGCCAATATCACTTAACTCCTAATTGTCCCAAATTCAGACGATCTGTCATCTCTTCCAAAAAGCTTTCCCAAAAGCTGCCAGTCTGAATTAAGGTATTTCTCTTCCACGTTCCACATTACACAATGCAAACCTCTTCTAGAGCGTAATGAATAAGGTTAGGATTAGGGTTAAAGTGATTCACCTCTAAAATATATCCTATATTTTTTCCATCTCAATTACTGCCTTCTTGATCCAAGTCATCATTTACCTCTTTCCTGGGAAAATTACAGGAAAATTGTTTATATTCCTATCTTTTTCAGCTCATCACTTATACTGCACCTAGAGTGGTCTTTTTGACCACTTCATATATACAAAAATATAGGTAACACATAACATTTAATACAACAAACAGGATGAACATCCATGCACCCACCACTAGCTTAAGAAATAGGGCAGTGCAGAGCCTCCCCAGTGGCGCAGCGGTTGAGCGCTGGGTTGCGAAGCTGCCCGCAGCCTCTGCAGCGCTGGTTCAATCCCCGGTTGCTCCCTGGACACCAGAGGAGGGTCCCACAGGGCGTGCAGACCTCTCCTGCCGCCCACTGCTCCCCTCCTCAGTGTACTTTGGTCCTTCTGCCAGCTCTGCTGCCTGCTCTGGCTCTGGTGAATTCTCTCACCCTCCCGTGCCTCTGACTGTACCCAGTGCTTGTATAAATAAATAAATCTTAAAAAAAAAAAAAACTTTAAAAAAAAAGAAATAGGGCAGTGCAAATACTTCTGAAGTGGTCTCTTTCCAATGGCAAAAACTATTTTGAGTTTGGTACTTAACATTTTCTTGTCTTAAAATTCTTTTATAATCTATGTATGTATCTCTAGACAATATACTTTTTGATTTTGCTTGGTTTTTTTTTTAAGATTTTTTTTTAAAAGATTTATTTATTTTATTTATTTATACAAGCACTGGGTACAGTCAGAAGCGCGGGAGAGTGAGAGAATTCACCAGAGCCAGAGCGGGGAGCAGAGCAGGCAGAAGGACAGAAGTACACTGCTGAGGGGAGCAGCGGGCGGCAGGCGAGGTCTGCGCGCCATGCGGGACCCTCCTTCAGTGGCTGGGGAGCAGCCGGGGATCGAACCGGCGCCTCAGAGGCTGCGGGCAGCCCTGCAACCCAGCGCTCAACCGCTGTGCCACCGGGGAGGCCCTGCTTGTTTTTGAATTAAAAAAAAAATAACTGCCTGCCATTTGGTTTGCAATTTGCTTTTTGCACTAAACATTATATTTCTGAAAAGTATCCATGTTGATGTTCGTGTCTGTGTAGTATTCCATTGCATGTATGATACACATTTCTATTCCAATGAAAAACTGGGTATCTTCCAGGTTCTGTGCAGTCAACTAAAATAAACAGGCTTGACCTTGAATCCCAGTGTATGTATGTAAGAATTTACTCCGGTGGCCTCCCTGGAGCTCTGGGTTGCCAAGCTGCCTGCAGCCTCTGCAGAGCCGGTTCGATTCCCAGCCACTGGGCGAGGGTCCCACATGGCGCGCAGACCTCTCCTGCCACCCTCTGCTCCCCTCAGCAGTGTACTTCGTCAGTCTGCCTGCTCTGCTCCCCGCTCTGGCTCTGGTGAATCCTCTCACCCTCCTGCGCTTCTGACTGTACCCAGTGCTTGTATAAACAAAAATAAATAAATCTTTAAAAAAAAAAAAAGAATTTACTCTAGGGCAGAGCTGTCAAATAGAACTTACTGTGATGATAAAAATGTTCTGTATCAACTCTGTCCAATATGATAGCCACATGTGGTCACCGAGCAGTAGAATGTGACTACATTGGAGAAATAAATTTTTAATCATATTTAATTTTAGTTCATTTCAATTTAAATAGCCACAAGTGGCTAGTGGCTACCATATTGGACAGAGTATCTTTGGAACAAAGTGCTGGGGTAGAGAGCATCTTTAACTTTGCTTAATGACAAAATATTGACAAATGACAAATTTTTCCAAGTGGAAACATTTTTTGTCTTACTTAATTTTTTAAATGAATTGTTTTACATCCTTGTTAATATTCTGTAGTAAAGGATTTCTCCCCTCAGGTGTGGTTACCATAGCTCTCCCAACCCCAAAGCTCCCACAGTTTTCCACTATAGTCCATTTTGTTCTGCCCCCTTCCTCACCCTCCCCCAAATGCCTCATATCTAGAGTCAGCTTCATGGGTTGGTTTTAATGTTTGCCTTTGTCTGACTCTTTGATTTTACTATATTTCCAAGTGCTAATACAACTTATACTCCCACAAGCAGTATCTAAGAATTAACAATAGTACTTTTTAATATCAGCCTTTAAAATTTTTGCCTATCTAGATATAAAGTGGCATCTTACTATAATTTTATTTTGTATTTCCATCATTACTGTTTATTTGCCATTCAGTCTCCCCTTTTTGTGAAATACTATTTAGGTCTTTTGTCTTTTTCTATAGGGTTATTTATCTTTTTCCTAAAGATATTTAGAAGTTGTTTATTTTTTAATATTATTTTTTTCTAATTAAATGTGTTATAAATACCTTCAATGCATTCCTTAAAACATAAATCAGATCATGTCTTCCCACTATACTCAGAATAAAATCTACACTCCTTATCATGTGATTAACTCCCAACACCCATCCCACCTCTCATGTACTCAGGAAAAGGAATATGTATGGAGAACTGACTACTGTACTAGGGATAAGTCTGACTGATACAGGGTAATTCCATTCCCTTACCAGCCATTGGCTCAGGGAAAGGCACATGAGCTTGTTTTGACAATAAAATTCAGGGAGAAGGGTGCTGAAAGTTTCTGTGAAAGATAGTCTTGAAGCTTAGGAGAGAGTGAAAAAAAGCTAAACTTTTCCATTGGACTTGAAGGAGGAAACATGAAGAGACCAGGTCCAAAGACGGTATGGGGAAGAATCTGGGTTCATTGTGACCACCATGTTCCTCCCCTCAGGCTCTTCCACCTGCTTTCCCCTCTTCTGAAACTTTCTCCCACAGACCCTCCATATGTCCAGATCTTTACTACCAATTTTCAGTTCAAACGGTTGCCTCCTCAGAGGAGCTATTTATGCCACTATCCCTGGCCAGTCACTATCACTACATGCTGCTATATTTTATGTCAATATTGAAAGTGACTGTATTCATTTGTTATCTCTCTCCCCCACTAAAATGGAAGAACCAGGAGAACAAGAATCTTGTCTGTTCAGCTTCCTGTGTACTTCTATATCTCATACAGAATCTGACACATAATAGGTGCTCAGTAAATATTTTATGCATTAATCAAAAACTGGTTTGGTGAGAATACAAATTGATATAGCCACTATGGAAAACAGAATGGAGATTCCCCAAAACATTAAAAATAGAATTGTCATATAGATGCTGCAATTCCACTTTTGGGTATTAATATGAAGAAAGGGAAAACACTAATTCAAAAAGTTATGCACCCCATGTTCATTGTAGTGCTATTTACAACAGCCAAGACATGGATACAACCTAAGTATCCAGAGATAGATGAATTGATAAAGAGATATGGTCTATATAGGCACATATATAAAGGAATATTATTCAGCCATAAAAAGAATAAAATCTTACCATCTGAGACAATATGTTTTGGCCTAGTGGGCACTATGCTAAGTAAGTCAGATAGAGAAAGGAAGACAAATACTATATGATCTCACATATATATGTAGAATCTTAAATAAATGGAGAACAGAGTGGTAGTTACCAGAGGCAGGAGGTAAAAGTGGGAAAAATCGGTGAAGGGGTCAAAAGGCACAAACTTCCAGTTATGAAATAAGTCATGAGGATGTAATGTACAGCAGTGACTACAGTTAATAATATTATATTGCTTATTTAAAACTTGCTAAAAGAATAGACTATAAAAATTCTTTTCATAAGAAAAAAAATTGCACAACCATGTATGATGACAGATGTTAACTGGATTTGCTGTGGTGATCATTTCACAATATATACAAATGTTGAATCATTATATTGTACACATGAAACTAACATAATATTATACATCAACTATATGCAATTGCATAGTTTTTTGCATACTTCAAATTTAAAAACTATTTTAAATAATGATTAATTTTGTTGCTTATTTTCCCTACTAGATCAAAGCTCTTTGAGGTAAGGAACAAATGCTTAATGTTGCCATACATGTATGAAAGACACAAAGAGAGGGAAGATATATTTGGGAGAAATATAGTGCCAACCTATTATTGCCTTTATGGACAATATTCCTTAAAGACGTTTTTCTCCTACTCTTATCTCTACCTATGGAGGATTTCATGGATATGAAACCCCCATGAATAAAGGAAAATGCTCTTCACTGCACTTCAAAGTCTGACTGTGAACAATGTTTTTAACCTATTTCTTACCTTTTGTCTATGTCTTCTTTCCCACTACTATTTATTCTACACTCTTGCCACACCAAACTCTAGTGTAGTTGAATTTTATTTGAAGGATACACTCCTGAAGTCTTCACACAAAGTTAAAAACATCCATAGCTCAAGACCATTTAGCAGCATTATTTAGCAAGCAAGACTAGTGAGTAATAAATATAAATATACTGAACATATTGTTTCGCCGGCTAAAATTGCCCCATGGTGTGGCAAAAGCATAAACAATTTCTAGCTCACTTAACCACCACAGGTTTTGAGGTATGAAATTCCTGACAAATAGAAAACATTGTAAGTACATCATACCGCTTCAAATTGTGTGCCTATAGTAAGGTGTCATTACTAGACCATTTCAAATAGTTTGCATAATTCAAATACTTACAAAACTTGAGCAGACTTTCTCATTTTTCCTGAATCACATTCATGCCCTTTCATGTTTCTTTGCCTTAGTACATGTTGTCTCCTCTATCTGGAATACTTTGTGAATTGCTAACACCTAGAACAGTGAGTGGCAGAAACGTCATTTCCATAGGTAGAAAGTAATATTGCTGATATAATGGTATTATCGCAGAACATTTAAAATCATTGGTTGGGGGAGGGGGAGAAGACTCATACATCTACAACAAATGTCATAATGTTCAAATACTTAAAACCTGAATCTGAAGTTTTCTGAGCAGAGGGAGGGAAAACAAGGGTTAGGTTAAGTCCACATGGAGTATAGGAATGGTAGGGAAAGCCGAAGTCTTAAAGTGCCTGTGCTCAGATAGGTGTGTGTCACAGACTTGAGGAAAATTGTAGTAAAGGGATATGGCTGCTTTGGGGTCCTCCAAAGTCCCAGGATCTAATATCTGAAAGCTTTACTGGAGTCATTTTCTGCTAGTTTTGTTCATTCTAGGGGAGGAGGAATTACCTGGGTAAGGGTGGGATGAAAGGTAGGAGAGAGGTAGACCACTGAAACTCCTCCTAGGTCAAATCAGAAGCAAATAATAATAATAATAATATCCATACACAATAAATGCAAATCAATGAAGCCATCTAGATATAAAGAAACTATGTGGGCCTCTTTGACCTGTTCACTTTTTTCCCTTTCAATGGAGACACAATTACTATGGAGAAATAACAATATTTTCAAAAGAAGCCAGCAAGCCAGAATCATATACAAAACTTCCCAATTCTAAACATTGGTTATGCAGGCCAAACAATGCAGCAGGCCCAGCAGGATGCCATTGTGTGAAATCTGAAGTTTACTATACAGTCTGGTGAATTATCAGGCGGCTTTCTGACCAAAGTATAGTGCAGAATTAGATGGGGCAACGTTAAAATGTGAACATGCTTCATAGAATTGCAGAATTTTTGTATTGATTCGATTCCAGATTTCCAACCAAAATAAAAATATGGTCTTTTCCATAAAAGTTGACCAACATAGGCCAAAGATTGATGGCCAGCTCAAAGGAAGGGTTACAGGATGGAGGATTTTGCCTTAAGACTGGTCCTGTTTGCTTTAACTCTGTGGCGGTCCATAGAAACAGTTGAGAAAAGGCATTGCTGCAAGGGCAGGTGGTGCCACTCCACAGTATTAATAAAGATTCTCTTTTCTAAAGTTGTAGATTTCATGCTAGATTTCCGTTTCTGGTTGGTTTATTCCATGAGGTGTCACTGGACCCACAGCATCTCTTCTGGATGGAGTTAGAGACAGGTCCTAAGAATCCTATTCTGGGTATGTCCTCCTGCGTGGGTCATTTGGGTTGACACTGTTGGGAAACCAGTTTTCTTCTGCACCTCTTTTTCATGCCCACATGGGGGCTGAGTGTATGGGTGTGAGATGTTGGGTGGAAAACTGGTAGTAAGGGTGCCACCCTGACAATAAGGGCAGAGCAAGAGACCTAGCAAAACGATGATGATATGAATCTCTGGGCAAGGGGTGGGGAAATATAATTACTGGTGTGAAAAGGATGGCTGTAGCTGTAAAACTGGTCCTCCCCACCTTACTCCAGTGATTCCATCTCCACTTTTTTCCTGGGCTCTTGTTCTAACAATTATACCCTCTCCAACACATTTAATCTCTCATCTGTACTGGTTCCTGCCTGTCATCCTCTAGTAAAATTAAGTTTTCCTTTTCTCTCAAAAGAGCTTCCTTGATATTTCCTTCTCTGTCATTTTATTGCAGTGTGGCTTCTGCTCACACCAACCTCCCACTGAAGTTGCTCCCTCTAAGGGCACCCGCAACCCAGTTGCCAAATTCAGTCCTACTTGACTTTTTTAAAGATTTCAGTCCCATTCACCATCTGCTGCCATTCATCAGCTTGCCTTCCTGGGCTTCCAAGATAACTCTCCAGGAGTCTTCCCATCCTTTTCACTGCTTATTCATTTTCTGCTGGTTTCTCTGACTTCATTCATTCTTTCAATGTTGTGATGCATTCAGGTACTGCTACCTAACATGGTATTGTTGTAAGAAACAGTAAAAGGTGCTATTCAAATTGGGAAGGTTTTAGACCAGGGTACATCACCAGGAAACCAGAGCTTAAACTGGACTTCAGGCCCCATTTACCCACTCAGCCAGGTACCCTCATGCTGTGAACACCCTGTACAACCGTACACTGCAGCCCTGGGTACTATTCTGGTTTTTGTCTTTTTGTTCTACACTTTTCCCTTTGTATTTTTGTTGACTTTCATAGTTCTAACTCCAATTTACATGTCTTACCTAATCTCTAGATATCTTTCAATCTGCATTCAGAATTTTTCCTCCTAGGTGTCCTGTGGGTACCCCAAACTTACTAAAATCCAGATTGATTCATAGTTTTTTGTTGATTTTGATTTTCACTTTCTTATAGTTATTCATTTTCCTGGTCCCTTATTTAAGTTTTCTAGATTCCTGCTATGAGTGAGACCATCCGGTATTTTTCTTTTTCGTTTTGGCTTATTTCGCTGAGCATGATCCCTTCCAGCGCCATCCATGTTGCTGCAAATTGCATGTGTTTATCTTTTTTGAATGCTGAGTAATATTCCATGGTATATATGTACCACATCTTCTTGATCCAGTCATCTATTTTTGGGCATTTGGGTTGTTTCCAAAGCTTAGCTATTGTAAACAGTGCTGCTATAAACATAGGGGTGCAGGTGTTCTTTGGAATTGATGTTTCTGTGTCCTTTGGGTAAATACCTAGGAGTGGAATTGCTGGATCGTATGGAAGCTCTATGTTTAGTAGGTCCAGAAATCTCCATACAGCTTTCCACAGTGGTTGGACCAGTTTGCACTCCCACCAACAGTGCAGAAGAGTTCCTTTTTCTCCACACCCTCGCCAACATTTGTTGTTGCTAGTTTTTTTAATATGTGCCACGGGGGTGGGAGGGAGGGATTGGGGTCAGAATGGGGGGGCTGCAATTGTATGGGGAATATAACAATAAAATTTAAAAAAAAAAAAAAAAAAGATATTCATGGAAAATTGGATCTTGGATTATTTGTTAAAAAGTTTTAACGTCTTCAAATAAACCGAACTAAAAAGTAAAAAAAAAAAAAAAAAAAAAAAAAAAAAAAAAAAAAAAAATCCAGATTGAATTCATTATCTGCTCAGCTCACTTAACATACATTTTTAAAAATTTTTATTTCCAAATTCTTCTTGAAGAAATAATTTGTGTATTATTATTATTATTATTAGTATTTTTTTAAATAGAGGCATGTTTTATTTATTTATTTGTTTGTTTGTTTTTGTTTATACAAGCACTGGGTACAGTCAGAAGCACGGGAGGGTGAGAGAATTCACCAGAGCCAGAGCAGGGAGCAGAGCAGGCAGAAGGACCGAAGTACACTGCTGAGGGGAGCAGCGGGCAGCAGGAGAGATCTGCGCGCCATGTGGGACCCTCCTCCGGTGGCCGGGGAGCAGCTGGGGATCGAACCGGCGCCTCCGAGGCCGCGGGCAGCTTCGCAACCCAGCGCTCAACCGCTGCGCCACCGGGGAGGCCCTGTATTATTATTTTTTAAAGATTTATTTATTTATACAAAAACTGGGGTACAGACCAGAGGCACGGGAGGGTGAGAGAACTCACCAGAGACAGAGCGGGGAGCAGACCAGGCAGATGGACTGAAGACACTGCTGAAGGGAGAAGCGGGCAAGGCATGAGAGGTCTGCCTTGCCACATGAGTTTCTCCCTGGCTGACCGGGAATCAAACCTGCACTGCAGAGGCTGCGGACAGCTTCACAGCACGGCACTCAACTCTCTGTGCCACTGGAGAGGCCCATATTCTTTTTTTTTCCCTAAAGATTTATTTATTTATGCATACAAGAGCTGGGGTACAGGCCAGAGGTGTGCGGGGGGGGGGGGGGGGGAGAGGATTCACCAGAGACAGAGTAGGGAACAGAACAGGCAGACTGACCAAAGTACACTGCTGAGGGGAGCAGTGGGTGAGTCAGGAGAGGTCTGCTGCACCAGGTGGGTAGCTCCTTGGCCAGCCAGGGGCTCAAACTTGTGCTGTAGAGGCTTCAGACAGCTTCATAGGTTGTGCCTTAACCCCTTGTGCCACCAGGGAGGCCCTAACATATTCTTAAACATGTCTATTTTTCTGTATTTTCTTTCTCTCATTTGATGAAAGCTCCCTCTATTCATTCAATTGAAAACTTCCAGATTATTACTGTTCCCTTCCCACAGGCAAAGGCTTTCTACATCACCCAAGTACAGTTCTAGAAATGCCTTCTAACTAGATCTCCTATGTCCAGCATTTCTCCCCTCCAAATTATTCTCCTACTGCCCTCAGGTTTCTTTCTTTACACAGATCTGAACATATTGTTCCTCTGATTAAAAACCTATTTTGGCTTCTAACTAAACATAAGATAAAGCCCAAATGCTTAGGTATAGCCTATAAAGCCCTACATATCCAGGCCTAAACTTACTATTCCAGTCCTACACTTGCCTCAATCTCAACACTTCCTTGATCTTAACCACACCAGACTATGATGCCATTTCTTGAACATGATTTTGCCGTGTGCTTTAAAGTCTCTGTGCCTTTTCTGGCAACTTGCATGGCCTTCTTTTGTGTTCTGCCTTGTAAAATCCCACCCACTCTTTAAGGTTATGCTTACTTGTCACCTCTTTCAGGCACCTCTGGCCCTAATTAACAGCTCTCTCCTGATTGCCTCCACAGCACTATTAGTATGCTAGTAGAGATTTCTTAAAGGTATTTTGCATCTCTTTCCCATTACACTGTTTCTTAAGGGCAAAGACTAAGCTTTGTTAAGAGTCTCCATATCATCAACAACTTGTCCAGTGCCGGGTAAGAATTTTAAGAATAAAATTTTGAGTTGAATTGGACGGGATGCTTGAACATTTCATTTTGTGAAAACAAAAAACAAAAAACAATGATTTCTTTGGGCATTATTTTCAGCCTGTTCATTTTCTTCAGACATCAGAATCTCAGAATAAGGCATTTGAAGGGCCCTGTTGGAGATAGCTGCGATCATATCCCAAAATTTTAGCTAGCTCTCTCTAGGGACATAGAAACTGTAATGTCTCAAATGACTGATGTCTGAGTATGGATTTTTACAGATATCAGAGTTCCTTAGAGCCAGTAATGACTCAATCTAGGACTTAGACTGTAGATTCCACAGATGATTCACAATTCTAAGTGTCAGAGACAAAGCTTTCAATGATAGTTTTCCAGTGATAAGTTTATGTGTTTTATCATCCAGGGATCCTATCCCAACTTCTCCAAGGGGTGAGATTTCAGAGCACGAAAAACAATATAAAAGGGCTTTGCAATCTCAAAATCTTGGAAAGTTGCGTGGTTATCTTTAGGTGGGTGGGAGTCGGGACCAAGTTCATTGGCACGTTTTGTGGAGGACCTTGCAAAAAGTATGGAGAAGCATAAGGCTGGCTTCCGTCATTTCCCTTGCTTAAACCCCACATTACATGCCGGGGTAGGTAGTAGACACTCACCGACTCCATGAAGCCCAGAAAGGGTAGTTTTCTTGAAATGAGCAGATGTGCATTTGTAGAACTGTGCTACTGGCTTCTGAATGCGTGGGCAAGAACTTGGTTCTGGCTAGAATCCAAGCAACAAGTTGTCATTGAAAATGCAGTGACTGGTCAGTAAAAGATACCTATAAGAAGCGCCTTTGGGTGCATTTTTTGGGACGAGTCAACCCATCCCAAGCTCCGTGGTTAATAATGCGGTCCTTCAGCTCCACCCTACCGCCTCGAGTCCCCTTTTGGTTTCGAAACAGGCGTCATGGAGCCCATTCCCCCGTTCTAGAGTACTCGGGTTGTGGGCCCAACGCGCCCCTCAGGTGGCCCCGCGGGAGCCGGCCTGATCCCGGGAGGCGCCCCGTGGCCTGGAAGCTGATCGCCGTTGGCCGAGGGCGCGGGCGCGGCCGGGCCGGGCGGAAGAGGGGAGCGCGGAGCGGCGGAAGAAGGGCACAGCCCCTACCCGGAGCTCCCCAAGGCCTGGCCGGGGGCAGAGCGAGCCGGCGGGGCCCAGCGCGTCAGCGAGCCCGCCCCCTCGGCCCTCCCCCGGGCGGGGCCCGCCCCGCGGCGCTGACTCAGCAACGCGCGGGGGGAGTTTTGTCCCTCCGCGGACCCCGTTTGTCTTGGCCTCGGCCCTCCGCCGCCGCCGAACCGGTTTCCTCTTTCCGGCGCTCCGGGTGAGAGAGGCAAGTTGGGCCGCCTGGACAGCGACCCATAGAGCATCTTCGGCGCTCACCTGAGGACCCGAAAACTACCTTTCTCCCGCCGGGCTGCGTGGGCACCATGAACAGCGCGGGTGAGGCGCTGCTTTTCGCCGCCGAGGCCCTGCCGGGGTCGGTCCTCTCCGGGGGCCAGCGGGGCTCGGGAGGCCCGGCGGCGAGGAGGGGCCGGGGCTGGGACCTGGGGCGATGGGAGGCGGGGAGCGGCTTGGAGGGAGACAGCCTCCCAGGGAGAGCGCCGGTGAAACGCTTCGCTGCCGTGGTCTCCTCAGGAGCGCTTAGGAAGTTAGAGTCAGGGTGTGGGAGTCCCGGATCAGCCCTCTTTGGCTTCTTTCTGGTGTTGGAGTGACATTTGGTCTTGCAACAGGACTGAATTCGGAGAAGGTAGCGGCTGTGATTCAGAAACTGAACTCCGACCCTCAGTTCGTGCTTGCCCAGAACGTGGGGACCACCCACGACTTGCTGGACATCTGTCTGAAGAGAGCCACGGTACAGGGGGCCCAGCATGTGTTCCAGCACGTTGTACCTCAGGAAGGCAAGCCGGTCACCAACCAGAAGGCCTCAGGTGAGGTCTTAAAACTTCTTGCATACTTGACTTGACTTTCCTGACAGTGTCCCATTTTGGTGTCTTACTAAAGAATGGTTTTGTGGGAGCAGAGATTTGTAGTGAAAGAACTTGTAGTAAATTCCTAGAGAAGAAACACAGGTAAAGGCAGGCCTTAAAACATTACTCTGTGAATTGTTTCGGTGCTCTGTGGCTTGCTAGCATATTTGATTTGTACGTAATATGACAAGTCCATGGTTATCTGTGTGAATTCACTATATTCTGTCCTGAAGTTATGTGATTGCAGCTGTGTCTTGCAGATAATTGCTCTTGGCACAAAGCAAACCAATGAGGACTCCCCCAAATTGCTCTGAATGCTTTATGTATGCCAAAATGTATGAACTGGAAAAGACACAGTGCGATGTCATCATGTGTTACTTTTAAGTAGACTCTTTGGTTGCAACTTTAGCAGATATGCTAATGGACTCAGTTCCCATTAATAAGCCAGTTTGTAATACAAAGAAGAAACTCATTTCTCCGTCTTTACTTGTCGAGAGCCCTTGTTTTTGGGGTTTTCTTAAATATACAGTTCATTGTTGGAAAAATACAGTTGGAATGATGTAATCTATATGAAAAGTCATAATTTCTTGGTTTGCTTTCTTGTTTCAGGGCGATGCTGGATATTTTCTTGTTTGAATGTCATGAGACTTCCATTCATGAAAAAATTAAATATTGAAGAATTTGAGTTTAGTCAATCTTACCTCTTTTTCTGGGACAAGGTATGGGACTAATTGTGCAAGATTCTCTTTGTTTCATTGTCAACCTTGGTAGGGACTGTCTCTTCATTTCTTGCTTTTGTGGTTATAGTCTGCTGTTCTCTTGTAGCAACTTTATTTATTTAGTTATCTGGACTTTCTAGGACCTCATTCCCCTTCTAGGAGCAGTACTTGTCTGAAAAACAGTGAATACTTATATTCTACTTTTTAGTCTTTACAATGTATATTAAATGTGTCCATTAGCTGTTATTTGATTGAAAACTAAATATCAGATTTTGTTTTAAGTAAAGCAATGCCTTGTTTTGAATAAACTATTGGAAAGCACACACATAGATATAAGAAGCTTCAAATATGCTTAATAAGTCAGATTCTGGCCCTTTCTGATGGCTCAGGGGTTAAAGTCTCAGTGCTGTCAAGCTGTTGCCAGCCACTGTAGCAGGAGTTCAATCCCCAGCTAGGGAGCTAACCCACATGGCGCAGCAGACCTCTCCTGTCTCACCCGCACTCCCCTCAGCAGTGTATTTCAGTGGATACTCCTGTTCTGCTCCCCACTCTGTCTCTGGTGCATCCTCTTAACCTCCTACACCTCTGGTTATACCCCAGTTCTTGCATGCATAAGTAAATCTTAAAAAAAAAAAAAAAAAAAAAAAAGCCAGATACTGATACTTCATTACTAACTTTAGTTTAAAAATTTCTATATTGGGTCTATAGTAGTTCCAAGGCTCTTATTCTGTAATAATGCCAATAAAGGCATTAGCTCTCTTTTCCTTTCATTTTATATAACTTCTTTTATTCTAGGTTGAACGCTGCTATTTCTTCTTGAATGCTTTTGTGGATACAGCTCAGAAAAAGGAACCTGAGGATGGTAGGCTGGTACAGTATTTGCTTATGAATCCAGCAAATGATGGTGGACAGTGGGACATGCTTGTCAATATTGTTGGTAAGAGTCTCTATTAGTACTGAAACTCAGCAAGATCAAGATCAAGATCAAGGCTCTGTAGTTAATGATAGGCCATTTCTTAGTTGGTTTTATATAGAGCAGAATTGGTCTCCTGGAAAGGTACACAGTTAACTCTTAGGACCTTCCTCTCACAATTATGAAGTGCCTTTCTTAAATGAGAGGTAAGGAGATACATACTTTGAATGGTGGCTTTAGAGAAGAATTAGCTTTCTATGAAAAAGATTGTTAATGTTACCAAGAAACACATTGAAACTGCAACTGTTTGAAAATATCCTCATTCAAAAAATGTTGTCTTTTGGTTAAAGACATGCTGACCATTTTATGACGTTAACAGATAAAAAGAATAGAATTAATTCTAAGGAAGATGGGTAAACATGCTCGTTAAATAACCTGTTTATATGAAGCATAAGATTGTTAAGTTTTCTGAGCAATATGGCCTGTTTTTTAAAGCCGTAGTTATTTTTTGCCAGGGTTTTTAATGCTTGAGTATACATTGTTGAACACTAAATTTATGTTTTCTTTTTTAGAAAAATATGGTGTTATCCCTAAGAAGTGCTTCCCTGAATCTTATACAACAGAAGCAACCAGAAGGATGAATGATATTCTAAATCATAAGGTATAACATATGTCACAGGTTGGAATTGAATTTAGTGTACTTACCTTAAAACTCCTAACTCCTAACCGGATTTTTAAGGCAATTCCTGGGCATTTCAGTGTACATAACTTATAAGATAGCTACTCATTGCCTATCAAAAAGCAGCTACATGTTAACTTTAAAAATAATTGCGATTAGGGTGTTTCTTCTTTTTTTTTTTCTTTTCAAAAATCTTCCACTTGTGTTTCTTTTGTTTCTGTTTTTGTTTTTTTAATTTATTTTTTACATCATTGTTCATTTTTAAACAATATTTGCTTTCCACTTTTGTTTCTATGAATTGTAATTTTTTTATGGGTATTAAGGTGAAAAAGTTCCATGTGTAATTAATATGGGCTATGAACACTGCACTGGGGCCTTTACTTCCTACTTGGTTCTACTAGAGGTGAATTGAGCAGGTGGGTTGGGACAATTTTTATGTACTAGTAAAACCAAAAAGAACTATTTGTGAGACTTCCTTACTGAGGATGCTAAGTGCCGAGGCTTCCCTAAACCACATCAGTCTCGTTCATCCACTTACTACAGATTTAATAGAGTTACTAAACTGCTTTTGATTGCTTCAGTTATCTTAATGAATCATTCTCTCTTCTCTACATACCCTGTTTTCCCAAGGAGAATTATAAACCCTATAGGGATGCTGCTCTCCCAGCCAGGCATCTTTTTTTGAAAATTCGGAGTTGCTAGAATTTGCAGTCCTGATCTTTGAGACTAAAATTAGATTTATTATCCCTGGGAGAAAGATTACATTTAAAAATAAACCATAGAAGTGTTTTTCCATATTAGAAGTAGGTTATTTTCTGCCCAAGAAATGGGATTTTTATCCAAAGGCTAAAAGATCACTAATAATATAGCATTGGATTCTATTTCATATCGGAGCAAGATCCTCTTTAGCACTGTGGTTAGATTTCAGACTCACTTTTGTCTTAGTCATCTCTTAAAATTGAAAAACAAAACTATTAGGGGTTGCCACCGACTGGGAGAACATTTTTGCCCATAACACTAATGATAAAGGACTGATCACAAAAATCTACAAAGAGCTAATGAGACTCAACAAAAACAAAGAAAATAATCCAGTCAGAAAATGGGCAGAAGAGCTAAAAAGAAACTTCTCTGAAGAGGAAATGCAAATGGCCAATAGGCATATGAAAAAATGTTCAACATCACTTGTAATCAGGGAAATGCAAATCAAAACTACCATGAGATACCATCTTACACCAGTGAGAATGGCACATATTAAAAAAACTAGCAACAACAAATGTTGGCAAAGTTGTGGAGAAAAAGGAACTCTCCTGCACTGCTGGTGGGAGTGCAAACTGGTCCTACCACTATGGAGAGCTGTGTAGAGATTTCTTGACCTACTCAACATAGAGCTTCTATATGATCCAGCAATTCCACTCCTAGATATTTACCCAAATGACACAGACAATAACTCCAAAGGGCACCTGCACGCCTATGTTTATAGCAGCGTTATATACAATAGCTAAGCTATGGAAACAACCCAAATGCCCAAAAATAGATGACTGGATCAAGAAGATGTGGTGCATATACACAATGGAATATTACTCAGCAATCAAAAAAAGAGAAACACATGCAGTTTGCAGCAACATGGATGGAGCTGGAATGGATCATGCTCAGCGAAATAAGTCAGAAAGAAAAAGAAAAATACTGGATGGTCTCACTCATAGCAGGAATTTAGAAAACCTAAATAAGAGACCAGGAAAAAGACTAATCAATGCAAAGTAATAATCAAAATTAACAAGCAACTATAAACCAGAGACACACTACGGGGGGGGGGGTCGGCGGGGGAGGGATTAGGAAGGGGTGAGGAGAGGAAGAACTAGAGTCAAAATAAGGGGGGGTGCAATTGTATGGGGAATATAACCAAAATGAAAATGCGTACATTGTACAAAGATGAAAAATTATGTAAGAATTAAATATTAAAAAGTTCTAGATTTTAATTTAAAAAAAAAAAACTATTGGGGGTTGTGGCAGAGCCACAGTCCTAATGATTTGGCAGAGAATTGGACAACCAGTAAAAATTCTAAATAAAAATCCGTTAGAATGACTTAGTGACAAAATTATTTTAAGTCTGTTTTTTTCTAAGATAATAGGCATTATGGGATCAGATGTTTCCCCTTTTTCCAAAAACATATTGTCATAGAGAGTACTATTTTTTAAGAGCATGTGCAGTTCATCTAATATTCATTGGGAACAATCCATACCTTTTTCCCAGAGGAAAGCATTTTTAACTCTGTGTGTAAGTGGACTAGTTAGGGAGAAACACATTTGCTTTTATGAACTTTACCCTGGGTCTTGGCTGAGTTATACTTCAAAATAGAACCATTATTGGTCTATTTGGCATATTTATAGTTGAATTTGGATAACTGTTGGAGATCTAACTAAGTTTCTGTCATAGATGAGAGAATTCTGTATACGATTACGGAACCTGGTACAGAGTGGAGCAACCAAAGGAGAAATCTCTGCCACACAGGATGCCATGATGGAGGAGGTAATAACTATTTGGATTTTTTTGTGACCCCATCTAATGAACTTTCAGAATATTCCTATTGTTTAGGAAGCATAGTTATTGCAATATTGAATTGAATATCCCTTATTTTATAGCGAAAAAAACTGAGGTAAAACTGTGCATTTTATTTTTTTATTTTTTTTTTTTTTGGAGGCATGTTTTCTTTCTTTCTTTATTTGTTTGTTTGTTTATACATGCACTGGGTACAGTCAGAAGCACGGGAGGGTGAGAGAATTCACCAGAGCCAGAGCGGGGAGCAGAGCAGGCAGAAGGACCGAGGTACATACACTGCTGAGGGGAGCAGCGGGCGGCAGGAGAGGTCTGCGCGCCATGCGGGACCCTCCTCCGGTGGCCGGGAAGCAGCCGGGGATCGAACCGGCGCCGCAGAGGCCGCGGGCAGCTTCTCAACCCAGCGCTCAACCGCTGCGCCACCGGGGAGGCCCTAAAACTGTGCATTTTAGTATGGGATATGTACTTCTAATTTCCAGCTTTTTAGTTTATATAAATCATTCTTTTATTCATTTCATAAATATTGAATATCTTACATGAGTCACACTGGGGGTATAGAGTTGAGAAAGACAGTATCTACTCTCAAAGAGGTCATTGTATTGGGAAATTGAAACACTTGCATACTTATATAAGACTTATGCTAGAGATGTATAAAAATGAATTTTTTGAAGGTGATAGAGGAAGAAGTGAGTAATTTGAGTTAACTGCAGATTTCATGGGAAAGATAGTTGAACAGGCTCTTGAAAGAACAGTAGGAATTTACCAGATGAATAATAGGGAAGACCATTGCAAACAAAGGGAATTGCATGAACAAAGGTGAAATCCTCAGAGAACAATATAGTTGAAACGTAACACTTTGTGAATGGGATTGAAGTAAATTAAGCTAGAAAGGCAGAGCTGTGAGGGATCTTTTGGCTTTATTCTATGGAATAAAAAGATGGGAAACTATTGATGGTTTTATCAGTGAAAATAATATGTGAAAATATCTTGGAAAACTTAAAAATCATTAGAGAAATAGAAGTCGATAATGATTCTTGACTGCCTTGATAATATTACTCAATACTCAATACTAGTTATAGCCCCCATAAATAAGCATTAAGACTAAAATTGTATAAACATTCTCCTAACAGTGTCCTTTTAAGACTGTAGGGTTAAAGTGGCCTAATTTTTTTTCACTGCAATGAACAAACTGATGCTAGTTTTCCTTTGGGGCAGTATAGGGTAATTGAGAGCATGGTCTCTGGAGTCAGGCTGTCTGAATTCTACTCTTGTCATTACTCAGCAGCCATGTGACTTTGGACAGGTTCCTTGAGCTCTCTAGTGTCAGGTTATTTATATGTAACATGTCTAGCCCAGTGCTTGACATAATAGTTGTTTCTTAAATATTCGTGGGGAGGATGAATGCAGAGGTTTCATTTTACTGAATGCATTTATTTAAGTCATATTTACCTCTTGTTTTTTCTTAAATATTCCTAGTTAAGGGAGGTATCTAAATGTAGTAGGGAAAAAATAGGTTTTGGAGTTAGATGTGCGTTCTGGCTCTATCACTTAACATCTCTGTGGCCTTTAGTGAAAAATACTTAATCTGTCTTGAGATTCAGTTTGGGATTTAAAATATATCCTCATTGGATTTTTGTGGGGGTCAAATAAGGAACTGAGTATAAGAATGCAAGGCATAGTGCCTAACACATAGCAGTTCCATAAATGTTAGATGATGGCAGGGTATAGTAAGGATGTTAGTTCTACAAACAGTTATAGAAAAGGGCCCAGATAATACTTCTTAGAGATCATAAGCATCCATTTCTAAGCACTGAAGGGCACGGTGATAAACAAGACAGACACGATCGCTCCTCTGGTGAACTTACCTACTAGTGAAGGGAGACAAACAATACACAGTAAGCAGGGAGATATCTGATAGTGATATGTGTTTTGAAGAACAAAATAGGGTGATTTATATGCTGGTTGGGATTGGCCTTTCTGATATCAAACCTGAGCTGAAACTTGAGTAATTATTCAGCCATGCAAAGATCTGGGAACAGAGCATACCAGGCAGAGGGACAGTATGTGCAAGAGCCCTTAGATGGGAGAATACTTGTGTTTTTGAGGAATACAAAGAAGGCAAAATGACTTGAACTTGATAAGAGGGTGGGAGTGGCTGGAATAGATCTTGTAGCGGGAATAGGAAACAGTTTATATGGGGTCTATCAACCAAGGTAAGCAGTGTGCACTTTATTCTAAGTGATATAACTATTGTGGAATTTAAGCTGAAGAATAAGTGAAATGATTTAATTTTTGCTTCAAATAAATTCACTATGTGTGTTTTGAGAATGGATTGTAAAACATTAAGAGAGGAAGTGGGGAGACCAGTTAGGAGACTATTATAATCATGTAGATGAAAGAAATAGTGGTTTGGACCAATTTAGTGAGAGTGAAGATGGAAAGAAGTGAGTAAGTTTTGGGGTATATTTTGGAAGTGAAACCATCAGGACTTACTGAAGTGAAGAACAAGGAAAAGAGGGGAATCAGGTGATAGGGTATTTTGAAGGGGGAAATTTGCAGATATGAGAGAAGGATTTTGGCAGTTGGGACAATATAAACGTACCAGTGTGTGGAAAGGGGCAGCAAATGTGAATGGGAGGAAAATAATTAAGGAAGCAAGGTTTTAGAGAAGGGGAAAAAGAGAGATATGCTTTCAGACTTTTGTGTGCATTCACATTCCCTGGGAATCTTGCTAAAATGCATATTGAGTGGGTCTGGGATAGGCTGGGAGTTTATTTCTATTTACATACCACTCTGCCAGTAGTCTCAGGATTGTCATTTGACTATATATTATCATCTATATGAACTTATTTCCTTTAACATCACATAAGGGAACACAATTTTTTTGTGTACCATTTTAATTTCTTCCCTTCTTGAAAATATATTTAATTTCTCCAGAAAATATCTCCTCTGGCTGCTTTTGCAGGCATAGATGTTTTTGGTTTTTGAACATATCCTTGCCTCTCTTTTAATCCCCACCAGAGAGCAGTAGAGAGCTGTCTTCTCTATTTCCCTGTGTATAAGGCAGTCATCAAGATTCCCCTACTTTTCTTCCCTTAACTAACTCATTTACATCAGCACTGAACTTTCTTGAAAGTTCAGCTGTTTTCTGTGACCAGTTTTTTGTCTCTGTGACCATTCTACTTTATGGTTACTAGGTCGTTTTACCTCTGAACCCTGTATCTCCATCAGTGGAACTAAAATGTTGAGGTAGATGACTTCTTAAGGAAGTTCAAAGATGACTTCTTTGAATTTTTATGACAGAATTAACTAATATTTCTATAGTGCTTTAGAGTTTGCATTCTCTCAATAGGCTATATAAGTACAAATGAAGAAGCTAAGATTCAGTCACTTCTACATTGGTTCCAAGTACAGAAATCTTTCATCTTTACTGATTTGCCCCCTTATGAGTAGCTTGGTGGTTATTTTTGAGATGACCTTCCTGATTATTACAGTTTCCTTTATTCTGACTGATACTGGCTTTAAACTCACCCTTCTGTATTCACAACTGACTTTCAGCTATAACATCCCACCTCTTCCTTTCTCTTGATATCTGTCTTCCAATTTAGCCGCCGGTTTGCCTGATGGTATTTTCAGTCTCACATCATTTGTCTTTAAATTGGAATCTGTACATTCTTGCCCCATGTACCATGTCTCATGCTTTCTGTGGTCCCTTTTTCTTTTTTCTGTTCCCTTTCCTGATTCTATTATCATATTTTAGCAAATAATTTAAAAATCAACAGATCTCTGATAAGGCAAAATATTTTTAGAGTTGAGCTAAAGTGGGCTCCTTTATAAAATTGGACTTGACAGGTAGGACCCTTTTTTACAATTTATACTGTGCCTACTAATAGGCAGTAATATAGACAGTAAATATAAAATGAATATAAACTGAAATATAAACCATACCAACTCCAACTGTAGCTTTTCTGGTGAGTTTTAGATTGTAGAGAAGGACCACACATACCCATATTGTAAGGCTAGTTTAACCTCCCAATTAAATTAGTCAGGGGTGTAAATCTTAATCAGAGCCAGATGACCACAAGAGGCAGACACAGGTGCAGTATATAGCTGAGCAGGGCTTCCATTGACATCCCTCCCCACCACTTGAGTGTAAGGGAAAGATCTCAGTGGATCTAGAAATTGAACTCAATTTTTGGTGTATCACTATCACCGCCCTTTTACACTTGAGGGTTATCACAATTTTAGGAGAAATTTCTCCCAACAAAACATTGGAGTCTCCTGTTTTGTTTTAGACTAAATTTGAAATTAGTAAGGCCACATCGTTATGGGGTTGGGAGTTAGGGAAAAGTAAAATCAGTTCCCAGGTGTCATTGAGCCATATAGCTCTGCTGTCAGCTTTCTAGCATTTTGTAAATTCCATGTTCCCTGAGTTCATTCCCTTTACTATTTTGATACCTTTTTATCAGTTTGGATCTGATACTGAGTCTGGTCTTAAATTCACATTTACAAATGTTTTATTCAGTAAGTGTTTCCTTAGCACACACACCTGGCACATTTCTAGGCATTTGGGATTTAGCAATGAACCAAACAAACAAGAATTCCTGCCTTCACATTGTTCACTTTTTAGAAGGGAGAGATGAATAAAATATAAGCTTAATATGCCAGAAAAATATGCTGTGGAGAAAAACAAGGCAGGAATGAAAGGAAGTACTTAGGTTGGAGAGGGCAGTTTCACTTGAAGTCAGAAATATATTTCTCTAAATGGGCTAATTGTAGTTTTTCAATATGTAATTATATTCTGAGGGATATGGTTTTAGTCTTATTTTGTTCATTTCTGTACAATGACTTGTATTCAATGCCCAGTGTGTGTTCACTGTTTCACTGTTTTGTCTTGAATGTTAAATGCTTCTTGTAAGAAGCAGGTAACACTCCTGAGTTACCCACTAGAGAGCAGACTTGGATGTCCAAAG